CCTCTGCCAGTGCCTCACCACCTTCACAGTAAAGAATTTCTTTGTAAAATCTAATCTAAACTTCTTCTCTTTCAAGCCATTCCGCCTTGTGCTGTCACTGCTTGCCCCTGTAAATAGTCTCTTTCCATGTTTCTTGTAGGCTCCCTTCTCTCAGCCTTTTCTCATAAGGAGAGGTGCTCCAACCCTCTAATCATCTTGGTGGTCCATCTGATAGGTCTGTGTCCTTCCTGTGCTGGGGATCCCAGAGTTGCACCTGGGTCAGTTGCAGTGCTCCAGGTGGTGGGGTCTCATCAGAGTGAAGGGATAGAATCACCTCCCTTGACCTGCTGGCTATGATGCTTTTGATCCAGCCCAGCCTCAGGTTTGCAGTTAGCTTTCTGGGCTGCAAGTGTGCATTGATGGATCATGTTCAATCTCTCATCCACCAGCCACCCCCGTGGCCTTCTCAGCAGGGCTGGTCTCAATCTGTTCATCCCCCAGCCTGTATTGATGCCAGGGGTTCCCCTGACCCAGGTGCAACACCCTGCATTTGGTCTCATAAGATTCCCATGAGCCTACTTCTCAAGCTTGTACCTGGAGTACAATGTACAGTTCTGGTGTCCCCAACATAAGAAGGGCATAGAACGTGGGCATCTCATACCAGCCTTCCAGTACCTGACAGGGGCCTACAGGAAAGCTGGAGAGGGACTCCCTGTTAGGAACTGTAGTGATAGGACAAGGAGTAATGGGTATAAATTGAAAGGGGAAGATTTAATTAGGTATTAGGAAGATGTTTTTTTGCTGTGAAGGTGGTGAGACACTGGAACGTGTTGCCCAGGGAGGTTGTGGATGCCCAGACCCTGACAGCTTTTAAAGGGAGGTTGTGGATGCCCAGACCCTGACAGTTTTTAAAGGCAGGTTGGATAAAGCCTTGAGCAACCTGCTCTGGTGGGAGGTGTCCCGGCCCATGGCAGGGGGGTTGGGGTTAGGTGATCTGTAAGGTCATTCCAAGCCCTTAACATTCTGTGATTCTACATTAAATAACACCGGTTCCAATACAGACCCCTGAGGGACACCACTTGTCACTGATGTCCATTGGGACTCCCAGCTGTTGACCACTACCCTCTGGATACAACCGTCCAACCAATTCCTTATCCATCTAACAGTCCACCCATTGAACCCATCTCTGCAGTTTAGTGTGAAGGATATTGTGGTGTGTCATGTCAAAGGCTTCACAGAAATCCAGATAAATGACATCTGTAGCTTTGTCTACTGATGTTGCTCCATCATAAAAGGCCACTGGGCTGGTAATGCAGTACTTGCTGTTGGTGAAGCCATGTTGGTTGAGTCGAATCACCTCACTGTTCTCCATGTGCCTTAGCATACCTTTTAGGAGGATCTGTTCCATGATCTTACGAGGCACAGAGTTGAGGCTGAGAAATCCAGATAAATGACATCTGTAGCTTTGTCTACTGATGTTGCTCCATCATAAAAGGCCACTGGGCTGGTAATGCAGTACTTGCTGTTGGTGAAGCCATGTTGGTTGAGTCGAATCACCTCACTGTTCTCCATGTGCCTTAGCATACCTTTTAGGAGGATCTGTTCCATGATCTTACGAGGCACAGAGTTGAGGCTGACAGGTCAGTGGTTCCCATTTTGCCATTGGCGTTTGTTTCTTCCTGGTTCCAGCTTACTTTAATCCCAGGTTTTGCTTTCTCAATTTATTTCCTTGATTTCTTTCAATTAAGCAGTCTTTTCCAGGAGTCTTTATATGAGACTTGAGAACAAATTGATGCTCCCAATTCTTCTGCCTTGGGATTGTCCTCTTCCCCCGTGTTCAGTAGGGAGTCCCTTCCATTAGGTATTTTAACCTTTCTTGTATGCTTTCTCTTTGCAAATTGCCGAAAGTGAAGACTGAAGTCACAGCTCAAGTAATAAAGCTCCAGTTAAACTCAAGAAAACTGAACTTTTCGTGGGTTTTTATTGGAATTCGCACAGAATTGAGAGAATTTACTGTCCTTTGGTTATTCAACGCTTTTTCATCCACATGGCCACAATGTCTTGATTATTTTTCTATGTTGTTTCTTCATTACCATAGAAAATTCCCACAATATTTGATACAGTATTTACCTATCTATTTGCAAAAGGAAAAAATGTGTTGTTGAAAACTGCAAAAAGCAAGTCTGTAACCTATGCATAGAGCGTGCTATCTGTTCATGCTGCTGTTTTCCTCTTTGCCCCCCACACTTTAAAACTGGACCAGAAAAAAACCCAAAACATTCATACCTGCAAGTGGCTTTGAAAAGAAAGTTAAGTGATAATGGTTTACATATTACAAATACTTATATTGAACTGCAAACTCCTGAGTGATTCTATTGTCTGCTTATCCCTCTCTCACAAGGAAGCTATTACTTGGTATTCTGCTTCTTTCTGCAGTTTGTGTGTCTTGTTTGGGGGTGGGTGTGCTTCTGGGGGCTTTTCGTTGGGGTGGGGTTTTTTGTTTGTCTGCAGGCATGGAACATAGTACTCAAACCCAGCTGTTCTGTTTACCCTGTTATGTAGTGTTAAACTCAGCATCTTCAGTGTCCTGTTCTGAGACCCTTCTAGCAACAGGGGCACATTTTTGCCTGCTCTGCAGAAGGAAGGTAGATAATCTATTCCTTTCAGATACAAAAAAATGGATTGGTTTTTGATAGTGAGAAAGATGTCTTTGCATGGCATGGGATGGGCTGGAATTGTGTGTATATTGCAGTGAGTATCCCTGTTTTAACACAAATGGCATCAGAAATCTTAGTTTGAATTCCTGGTCTCCTTTGCTGAGTCAGAAGTACTGTATATACACTTACTCATAGGGTTCTTAGGGGCTGGGGGGTTGCCAGTACCTGCCCTTCAGGAGTGCCAGGTCAGCTTGGGCCAAGCAGCTGTAGAATGGGGCTGTCACCAAAAAAGCAGTATGGACTGCTTGACGTGTTGTCCTGCCCCTGAGCCCGAGCCAAGAAGTTCACCACCTGCTGCTAGGTTGGAGCTGGCTTAGGGAACTGTGAGCTGCACCACTCCCTGCATGGTGCAGCCAAGACCCTATGCTTCAGTGGGAAGGCCAAGGGTGGGACAGGAGAAGAGACAGGATAAAGTGCTTGGTGTAGGTCATGTTTAAGGAAATGCCAGTTTGATTAGCCTAATAAAATCTTGGCATTGCTGAGTGATGCAGGTGAGTTCTGACTTAATAGTATTAGTCCTGTGTACATGAAAAACTTGTATCAAAGCATGGCCACCTCTTGTGGGAAACAACACGGTGTGAATGTCATCTGGAGTTAGAAGAAGGGATTTATAGACATTGACGAACAGTAAGGGGAGCAGGAATACCAAGCAAGAGTACTTTTTTTCTAGCAAGTAAATACCTTGATTTCTTGGTAATTGTCACTGGAAATACAAGCCTCTGTGGTTGAAACTGTTGTCACAGTTCAAATAAGCATAGGGCCAAGTCCTAATGGTCAGTTTCTAATTGTTGAACAACAGTTTTCAGAAATCTCCCACAGACATGACAGTAAAGCATGGTTCTGAAAGCAAAAAGATGATTTCTGTAGCACATTTAAGAAATTCTGGAGTCCATGGTGGGTATGTTAAGTGTGAGTAGTCTTAAAAGTACCACTTTGCCCTTACTGTGTTACTACATAACAAACTGGAATGCTGAAGAATGTAAATCTACTAATGACACTAAACATGCCCTATTCAGGCAGCTGAAAGGATGTTCTGTGCTGTCTTTAAAAGTGGGTCTAGTTGCCAGCAGCAGGTGGCACACCGGTGTTTATAAGTGAGGTCATGCATGTAAACTTAAACTATAAACTATTTGTTATGTATGTCCTTATAGAAAAATGCTTAAAATAAACAAATACAATACTGACTTTGTAAACCACACACATCTGTCTCTGTTGAGTTTATAAATCCTTTGTCCCGTGCGGTATTCCTGTAATAATTGCGGGTTTGGAGTAACAGAAGTGTTTCAGTTCGCTGTGGTCTGTGAAAGTGGAAACAATCTTTGCCCCTCCCGCAAGCGAAGCGCTGTCGGGTGTGACCGCGCCCCTGGCTCTGGTAGGGATCGCAGAGCCGTTCGCAGCGGGCGGTGGGGAAGGCGTTTGGCGGGCTGGAGGAGCTGGATGCTGCAGAGCAGCTGCCTGGCTGCCTGTCCCCGGGGGCGAGCCCGAGGCTGGGGGACAGGCGGGTGGGGACGGCTCAGCCGCGGGGACGGGTGCGCGGAGCACAAAGGCGAACGGCGAGTTCCCAAGGCGGGAGCGAGAGCCGAGA